GACAGGCGGCCCCGGGGGCGGTGGCCAAGGCGGCGGCCCGAGAGCGGTTGTGGGGGCGGCGGGGCTCATGGCTGAAGTGAACTGGAAGGTGTTGGAGCGAAGAGCCCGGGTCAAGCGCTCAGGTTTGGCTGGCTGGAACGCCACCCTCTTCCCCCGCACCCGGGTGGTGCTCCCCTTCAAGCGTCTTGGGCGGGAGGCTGTTGGGGGTCCTGGAGTTGAACCTGTGCCCGCGTGTGTCCCCTTAGAAAGCAGACTGCGGTCCCTGGCCTTCCTCCTCATGTCTACCCCCACCCGCGCCAAGTGGTGGTGGCCCGAACTTTACTACATGTGTTTTTCCCCAACGCTGTTTCGTCTGTGTTCCCCCTCGGAAAGTAGGTGGGGGTATCTACTAAGCCTGGAGTCTTACTCTTTAGAAATCAGGCGGCAGCCAGGTTCCTGGGAGAGTGCGTCCTCCCTCAAAAATCAGATAGCTTCATTCTTAGATGTGAGTATGATCTGGTCCTAGAAAACTGGCAGCAGAAAAGTGTTGCCTTATTTCGTATCTCCCTTCTACGTTCTTCACAAGTTCTGCGAGTTATTTATGTGGCACAAATCGGTTGGGGGGGGACAGGGCCTTAGGCTGTGAAGGGGGTCACGTTGAGCATGCTTAGGGCTCAGAAGGAAGCAGGCCCTTTCCCTGGGCAAGTGGCCCCAGGACTCACAGTTCCCGGTTGTGCCTCCCAAATCCAAAGCTGCCGAGGTCAGAAGACGCTGCGCAGGCAGTTACAACAGTTGGAAGTGTCCTGAACTGACTTGTTCAAATTGCAAAGTCACGACTTTGAAGTTAGCACTTGTGGCTGATCACTCCTCTAGATAGGATTGAAACTTCCCTTATTTCTGGCTGGCTGGATATAATCTTGAGCTCAAAGTGTGCCTATAAACGGAAAAGATGGGTGGAATGACAAGTGTTCAATTAAGAATCTTTCCTTTTAAAGGATTGTCATTACTATATTGTTGAGAGATGCTAATGTTAAATAAGGAAAGGCATAGTCCTCAGAAAACCAGTTCTGCATTTGCACTGATATTGAGAGTTTTTTTTTTTTCTCAGCTAATATACTCCATTATGTTTGGGGTTTTTCCAATTTATGAAGTTCTTAGTTGTCTGTTGTGTAGTTTGCCTTTTTTTTTTTTAATTTAAAGAAAAGTATCTAATTTCATGAATCATACAGGAGAAATTCATTCAATCTTTGTTGCCAATTTCATTGTTTTTAAACCTTATTTAAAAAGTTCTGCACCATTTACTTAGGTTATTGCAGAACTACCATGAAAGTCTGAGAGAATTTTTTAACAAGTAGTCCCTAGTACATTTCAAAGTCAGTGTACTTACTTGGAATAGTCACATATATTTCTGTTTCACGCTTCTTAAAATTTTTGTGTCATATTGAAATATTGATTGACCGTTAACAATGTGTCTACCTGGGCTATAAAAAGTGTTAATTGGATTGATAATATCTGGTCAAAGAGAGTAACCTGAGTTTTCTTACAGGGAACTGAGCTCTGCCTTCAACATCTATTTTACAGCATTTCTCTTTTCTCTTAAGCATATAGGGTTTATTTTCTTCTCCAGGCTTTATTTTCTCTGAATTGCATGTCATAACAGTAAGCTCTGAAAACCTACCTTCTCTTTCTTGAGGAAAAAAAAGTCAGATTTTATTTAACTTTTGTTGAATGCAGTCACTTAAGTCCAGTTTCATGTGCAAAGTAGTTAAGTGCATAGTATAAATGTTCGATGTTAGTGTATGTTTATATCATGGTTGTAAAAGAGATACCATTTGAAGTCATTCCTCCAAATTAGTTGAGGTTTCAGGTTCTAACTCTGTAAGGTGTTGACTATAAAGTTTATTGAATGAATCATTTACTTCCTATGTCTTTAAAAACAATCAACCTGATTCTGTTTGTTACTTTTAGAAGAATATATAAACTGAGCTTAGTTTGAAACTTGGGCTAACCTGACTCTGAGATAGATGGCACTGCAAAGTTCTGAGCATTGTTACATAGTAGCATAATCACTTCACTGCTGGATAGAGGATGCTACACTTATGTAATGTTTAATAAGTGGATATTATATATTTCCTGCCTCATCCATATAAGCAAATGTAATTTATCAAAGCAAAGAAAATCAAATTTTCAAGTCATTAAAAAGAAAATAAAATTATAATGAACCTCAATTATTGCCTTTGTTGCACACTGCATTATGTTAATAACTGCTGACACTGCTTTCAATTAATTTAACGCTGATTGCTTCTAACCTTCACTAAACAGTTTTGAAAATTGCTGTAGTTTAGCCTGCGATGCTTATGATTAGAGTCAACAATTTGAAATGGCCAGCTCACCTGATGCCATCGTCTCTTCTCCTCCAGCTTTCTTAAGGTCTGGTAAGTGTGTAGACCCCGAAAGGGTCACTTGATAATTTTAAGTACCTTTGTTTCTGAATGTTGATGTCAACCATATGATATCATTTTGGTTTTATTTCCTCTTTGGTGGGCCCAAGCCTGGCATCATTTCTGTTGTTGTTAGGCTCAAGTTTGTACTGTATGTTGAATGTGGCCTATAGTGGTGTTGTATAGGGCATTAGAAGTGTGGAGACGAGACCCTGTCTTTACACCAGCTCTATGTGACCAGGGCCTGGGAGCCTCAGTGCCTGGGAGCCTCAATTGTAAAATAGGTGCCTAAAAAGCTTTTTTTTTTTTTTTAATTAAAAATTCAGTTTATTCATCTGTTTATGACACAGTACACAAGAGGCAAATTGTTTCACATCATAGATTTCACTTCCAACTCCTTGGAATGTTCATTTCTTTGGCTAAAAGGAGAGACTAGACATGAGAGGCAGGCAATGCTTAGGCAACTGACATAAGGATGGGGAGGGGGTGATGCTAATGCTATCCTCACGGGGACAGGCACAGGGGGACTGTTAGTCACAAGCTATTTTCTAGAACTGTTAGCTGGAAACAAAGGAGCACCACTCCTGGGTGCTCATCCGTCGTGGGCCTCAATCATCCCCACCACACAGGTACAGCAGCGCTTTCTGGTAGTCACCCTTCGTGTCTTGCTGGATGTAGTAGTACAGGGACTTGCCGTACTTTCTCTTGAATTCAGACCTAATTTTCAACATGTCCACTTCACTGCGAGAGACCATGATTCTAATCAGGACTTTATCACGAGTCCCCTTGCCCTTCATGATTAATCATGGTCTCCAAGTGGCCGGATAAGGCTGACTTGAGTGCTGATGCAAGTTCCTTTTTGGTCCTTCTCTGGTAGGCGAAGGCAATATCCTGTCTCTGTTCATTGCTGCAGTTGATCAAAATGTTGACAATGGTGACTTCATCCACACCTTTGGTCTTGATGGCGTTTCAATGTTCAGAGCATCACGCTCAGCATCAAAATTGGTGTATGCTTTGACTGACCCATATGCACTTGGGGGCGTGGAGTGATCACCACCCAAGCTGAGCTTGCAGAGAATTTTCTGAACAGTAGACATTTTGAAGGAAGCTGGGCCTGGTGCCGAGAGCTGCAAGTGTCCCCAGTTGTGGAGCCCCTAAAAAGCTTCTTTTTTCTTTTTTTTTTTT